TTACTGTTAATTCTTACTTTATATATTTACTTTATATATTTACTTTATATATTTTAATATAAACGTTATATATTCCTTAAATTATATTTGAAACTTTGTATATTTACATGTTCAATATTAAGTTTTATATAATATCAACTTTGTTAAGTCTATAATATAAACCGTGTTTAATATAAACTTTATATAATTACTTACTTTATGTGAACTTTATATATTTACATGTTCTGCAGAATTTAATCTTCAATAAACTTTAACGCCCCATACTGCCAGTATCTTTCTCCCCCTGGTCAGAAAATGGTCACTGCTTGCATCACAAGCGGGGATGTTTCTGGCGGGGGAGAAAGAAACAATTGCGCAGCGCGTCCCGCGGCGTTGCGCGGGCAGTTTGGGGCCGTATAAATACGGGCGCACAACGGGGCTCCGCCTCACTCCGCCTGCCCTCGCAAACCCCTAGACTGGGGTAAGAATTAAATTTTGCGAGGGCAGCGGCGAGGGCAGGCGGAGTGAGGCGGAGCCCCGTTGTGCGCCCGTATTTATAAGGCCCCAAACTGCCCGCGCAACGCCGCGGGACGCGCTGCGCAATTGTTTCTTTCTCCCCCGCCAGAAACATCCCCGCTTGTGATGCAAGCAGTGACCATAAATTGTACACCCGTAGTAAAACGTAATCTTATAGCCTAGTAACAAACTCTGCAGAAACCTAATGTCCTAATGTCTAGAATTAGCAGTGAGGCGAATGTAACAAATCTAATACTAAGTATAACAGGACACCAAAGTGAACAACATAACATAAGGGAAACCCTAGCTGGAGAATAATCAGGCGGCAGAAAACATAGTGACTGGGGAAGCCTGATATGTATTTGGAGAAGAAAATAACCCCAGGCCAGAGGCCGAGCCGCCAAGGAAGGAATTACCTGACAAGGTAGGGCTTACTAGTAGAATGTCTGTAAAGTCAAAGTAGTAGCTGCGGACAGCGGAACACTTGGGGACGGGCGCTGCACCCCCCCCCCCCACCCATCCCCAGTGAAACGGGAGGAAAACGTGAGGAACAACGACTGACGAAGTCAGAACCGTGAGAACTGGCAGCCAGCAGAAAGGGGGAGGGTGGGCGCTTCGTGAATCTTGGACCTGGTCGGGAGAGGGAGTGAGAGCGGGACCTGACTTCCCGCGCCTTTTATGCCACCCAGGCTGGCCGCACCGCGCCTGCGGGACGCGATGCGCAATTGTCTCTTCCTTCCCCCGTCAGAAACTCCACCGCCTTTCGTCAAAAGGCAGTGGGCCATATATATATATATATATATATATATATATATATATATATATATATATATATATATATATATATATATATATATATATATATATATATATATATATATATATATATATATATATATATATATATATACAGTATATATATATATATATATATATATATATATATATATATATATATATATATATATATATATATATATATATGTGTATATATGCGGAAAATCCACAGAGAAATATGAAATGAGGTGAACGTTTCGGCTTTGTTAAAGCCTTTGTCAACACCAGACTGACTGAGTCAGTCTGGTGTTGACAAAGGCTTTAACAAAGCCGAAACGTTCACCTCATTTCATATTTCTCTGTGGATTTTCCGCATAAAATGATCAGTGTTTTGTGATCGTCAATTGCATATATATATATATATATATATATATATATATATATATATATATATATATATATATATATATATATATATATATATATATATATATATATATATATATATATATATATATATATATATATATATATATATATATATATATATATATATATATATATATATATATATATATATATATATATATATATATATATATATATATATATATATATATATATATGTCGTACCTAGTAGCCAGAACGCACTTCTCAGCTTACTATGCATGGCCCGATTTGCCTAATAAGCCAAGTTTTCGTGAATTAATTGTTTTTCGACTACCTAACCTACCTAACCTAACCTAACCTAACATTTTCTGCTACCTAACCTAACCTAACCTATAAAGATAGGTTAGGTTAGGTCAGGTAGGGTTGGTTAGGTTCGGTCATATATCTACGTTAATTTTAACTCCAATAAAAAAAAATTGACCTCATACATAATGAAATGAGTAGCTTTATCATTTCATAAGAAAAAAATTAGAGAAAATATATTAATTCATGAAAATTTGGCTTATTAGGCAAATCGGGCCTTGCATATTAGGCTGAGAAGTGCGTTCTGGCTACTAGGTACGACATATATATATATATATATATATATATATGTCGTACCTAGTAGCCAGAACTCACTTCTCAGCCTACTATTCAAGGCCCGATTTGCCTAATAAGCCAAGTTTTCCTGAAATAATATATTTACTATAATTTTTTTCTTATGAAATGATAAAGCAACCCTTTTCTCTATGTATGAGGTCAATTTTTTTTTATTGGAGTTAAAATTAACGTAGATATATGACCGAACCTAACCAACCCTACCTAACCTAACCTAACCTATATTTATAGGTAAGGTTAGGTTAGGTAGCCAAAAAAAGCTAGGTTAGGTTAGGTTAGGTAGGTTAGGTAGACGAAAAAACATTAATTCATGAAAACTTGGCTTATTAGGCAAATCGGGCCTTGAATAGTAGGCTGAGAAGTGCGTTCTGGCTATTAGGTACGACATATATATATATATATATATATATGTCGTACCTAATAGCCAGAACGCACTTCTCAGCCTACTATTCAAGGCCCGATTTGCCTAATAAGCCAAGTTTTCATGAATTAATGTTTTTTCGTCTACCTAACCTACCTAACCTAACCTAACCTAGCTTTTTTTGGCTACTTAACCTAACCTTACCTATAAATATAGGTTAGGTTAGGTTAGGTAGGGTTGGTTAGGTTCGGTCATATATCTACGTTAATTTTAACTCCAATAAAAAAAATTGACCTCATACATAATGAAACGGGTAGCTTTATCATTTCATAAGAAAAAAATTAGAGAAAATATATTAATTCAGGAAAACTTGGCTTATTAGGCAAATCGGGCCTTGCATAGTAGGCTGAGAAGTGCGTTCTGGCTACTAGGTACGACATATATATATATATATATATATATATATATATATATATATATATATATATATATATATATATATATATATATATATATATATATATGTCGTACCTAGTAGCCAGAACTCACTTTTTGGCCTACTATTCAAGGCCCGATTTGCCTAATAAGCCAAGTTTTCCTGAGTTAATATATTTTTTCTAATTTTTTTCTTATGAAATGATAAAGCAACCCATTTCATTATGTATGAGGTCAATTTTTTTTTATTGGAGTTAAAATTAACATAGATATATGACCGAACCTAACCAACCCTACCTAACCTAACCTAACCTATCTTTATAGGTTAGGTTTGGTTAGGTAGCCGAAAAAGTTAGGTTAGGTTAGGTTAGGTAGGTTAGGTAGTCGAAAAACAATTAATTCATGAAAACTTGGCTTATTAGGCAAATCGGGCCTTGCATAGTAGGCTGAGAAGTGCGTTCTGGCTACTAGGTACGACATATATATATATATATATATATATATATATATATATATATATATATATATATATATATATATATATATATATATATATATATATATGTGTCGTACCTAGTAGCCAGAATGCACTTCTTGGCCTACTATGCAAGGCCCGATTTGCCTAATAAGCCAAGTTTTCCTGAATTCATATATTTTCTCTAATTTTTTTCTTATGAAATGATAAAGCTACCCATTTCATTATGTATGAGGTCAATTGTTTTTTAATGGAGTTAAAATTAAGGTAGATATATGACAGAACCTAACCAACCCTACCTAACCTAACCTAACCTATCTCTATATGTTAGGTTAGGTTAGGTAGCCGAAAAAGTTAGGTTAGGTTAGGTTAGGTAGGTTAGGTAGTCGAAAAACAATTAATTCATGAAAACTTGGCTTATTAGGCAAATCGGGCCTTGCATAGTAGGCTGAGAGGTGCGTTCTGGCTACTAGGTACGACATATATATATATATATATATATGTCGTACCTAGTAGCCAGAACTCGCTTCTCAGCCTACTATTTAAGGCCCGATTTGCCTAATAAGCCAAGTTTTCCTGAATTAATATATTTACTATAATTTTTTTCTTATGAAATGATAAATCAACCCTTTTCTCTATGTATGAGGTCAATTTTTTTTATTGGAGTTAAAATTAACGTAGATATATGACCGAACCTAACCAACCCTACCTAACCTAACCTAACCTATATTTATAGGTAAGGTTAGGTTAGGTAGCCAAAAAAAGCTAGGTTAGGTTAGGTTAGGTAGGTTAGGTAGACGAAAAAACATTAATTCATGAAATTAATATATATATGTCGTGCCTAGTAGCCAGAACGCACTTCTCAGCCTACTATGCAAGGCCCAATTTGCCTAATAAGCCAAGTTTTCATGAATTAATTGTTTTTCGACAACCTAACCTACCTAACCTAACCTAACCTAACTTTTCCGGCTACCTAACCTAACCTAACCTATAAAGATAGGTTAGGTTAGGTTAGGTAGGGTTGGTTAGGTTCGGTCATATATCTACGTTAATTTTAACTCCAATAAAAAAAAATTGACCTCATACATAATGAAATGGGTAGCTTTATCATTTCATAAGAAAAAAATTAGAGAAAATATAACAATTCAGGAAAACTTGGCTTATTAGGCAAATCGGGCCTTGCATAGTAGGCCAAAAAGTGCGTTCTGGCTACTAGGTACGACATATATATATATATATATATATATATATATATATATATATATATATATATATATATATATATATATATATATATATATATATATATATATATATATTTTTTTTTATATATATATATTATATATTTTTTTTTTTTATATATATTTATATATATATATATTTTATATATATTTATATATATGTGGTTATTGTAAGTTATGGAGGAGGCGGCGCTGGATCCGTCACACGAGAGAGTGGTGACCACGGGTGTGACAGGCGGCTGTACTGTCCCTCTCACCTGTTACTACCGTCACTACGACCGGATATATCCCGTCCCTCGTGACCTGCCGTAGTAGCCCAGGCCGAGCGCTGCTCACCTCAGCCATGACCACCTACACTGTCTCCTACATTAAAGAGAAGCTCACCAAGGCCCTCGACGCCTCCCATATCGTAAGCTCTTTGGAAGTTGATTTTTGTGTCTCTTGACGGCGATAGACGGGGGTCTATCGCCGATAGATGGGGGGATCGGGGTTGATCTTATTCTAGATGTTTTTGAACCTCTGTTTTGAGGCAGCTTGGTAATGGAATAGTTGCCTCTGAGGGAATGCTAAGGTTTGGGGGGAGGATCAGGTTTAGTTCATTTGTTGTGCACCCCATACCCACCATCGTGTATGGGGCGGTAGTGGAAAGGGTTACAGAGGCGCCTGTTGGGCTCGGGGACTTTTTTTTTTATTATTTTTATTTGCTGAATTCCAAAATTTATTTAGCTTAGTCTTAATGAGGTAGTTGCAAAATTGAATGTACGTATATTGTTACATCAACAATAGGTTGATGTTAAGGTTCCACTTTGATTGTTAGTGAATGACTCGTGTTTATACTTTTTTGTTTTCTTTATTTTTATACGTATTCGGTGAGGTAAATTCTATTTCCTGTACACCTTTTCACTGTGTTGAAAGTGTATGTGAAGGCTCATGTGGTGCCTAGTGTAATTTGTCACTCGCACACAATTTCGTTAGCACTTTATTGGAGACTAACGCACGCTCTTGGGACAGTCGAGCCTTTTCAGAAGTAATTGGAACATCATCTGAATACAAAATTTTTAACCTAACCTGATGATTGTTTTGAGGGGTTTTGTAAATACTGTACGTCTCATCATACCTAAGATGGCTCACCAATAGGGTTCAAAGCTTGCCTTACCTAACTCAACTCCACATAGTTTAACCCAATTCAGCCTAACCTATCATAACACAATCCAGGCCACTCTAATGATATGTATGGCGATAGCCATTAGAAAATGAGCCTTAGCAAAAAGTCTCTATGATTTCACTGTACTGTACTTCATACAAGTGCATTTCACCTAAGTCTACAACATGGCATAGTTAAGAGTTTTATATTGATTAAAATTTGTAATGTACCAACAATATAATATTATTTAATTTGCTGTCAACTTTGTAAATAAAGATTGATTTATTGATATTAACTGCAGTATAGCTTTTTGCATTGTAGGTCATATCTTTTTCTTTTAATAAACATTAATATTTGTTTACCCAAGTTTGCCTGGGGGCCACTCTGTCTAGTGACCTCGATGAAGACAGGAAGTCGGTGGCTTGTTGAAGGTCCCCTCATATCTTCTCATAATTTTGTCAAGCTGAATTTTGAAATTCAGCAGTGTTTTGGCACCTATGGCTTCAGGGGGTAGGCAGTTCCATGGGTTTACAGCTCTATGGGGTGAAAAAGCATCTCCTGTTTTCCATCCTGCACTGTGGCTTGTTGAGTTTGAAACATGCTCCTTGTTTGTGTTACATCTGACCTTTTGAAAAAGTACTGTAGTCTGGGTCATTATTTTCCAAATTGTGCACTCGCCTATTTGTGCTTTCTGGGATTGAGCTTTGTCTCTTTGGTCCCGCGAGTGGTCCATGGGTAATAAGTGGCATGCATTTACCAGTGCAAAAAATGCCACCAAAAAACAATTGGATCCAAGTCTATTGAAAACACAACAATGCATTCTACATCTACCATTCTACTTTGCATATTATTATCAAACCTTAGTAGTCAGTGGTTCCCAAGGAATGTGCCACCAAAAATAAGGAAAAGAGGAGTGTAAAAAGTTGTCAAACAATATGAAACACCACCATAGACTACTGATATACCTATCTACCATATCTATTAATATCAAACCTTAATGCTCAGTGATTCCCTGAAAATGTGCCAGTGAACAAGGATATACTGTACATGTTGACCAAACACACACTAGAAAGTGAAGGGACGACGACGTTTCGGTCCGTCCTTGACCATTTGGTCAACATATTTCAGCCACGTTATTGTGACTCCTCGTCTGCACAGGGATGTACATGATGCTAGTGTTCAGCCCCCCCTGGGATAACTGTATACAGCTTCCCAGGGACCCAACATTCAGGACCCAGGTATCTATTTTATAGGACTATTGACTAGCAATATTGAGACAGGTGGATATAATACACTCAGACTCATAATATAATATACCTGAGTATAATACACTCAGGCCCAGACACTGGGGCCTGAGGGGGCCAGAAAGGGGACTTTACTGAAATACTGCTGCTTTTTCCAGAGAAAAGCGCTGCACTTTAAATGTAATTCTGCATTAATGCAAGAAAAACTGTCTATTCTGGTGGTTTAGATAAATTCCTACCTGTAAAGCATTTATTATTTAAATTCCTTTATTGTAAAGCATTCTATCCATAATTAAACATTGCCTAAACACAAATGATCAATTATCATGATGACTTGTTGCTCTATTTTCAACTTGCTTCTTTTAGCATGACATGTGTTTCTTGAAAAATTTTGTTTGGTAGTTTGAGTTTATTAGGTTATGGGAGAAATGTGGCATTAGGGTTGGGTAATAACACCTGTAAATACCATATTTTCATATATATTTTGTGGAGAATTTTTGTTTTAGTATGTTTAATTAAAGATTTATTTAAAGTGATGTACTGTACTGTTGAAGTGATTTTGTAGGGAAAACATATGATTTTGTGTATATAAATACAGTATTTATTTGGTTAGTGGTGAACTAAATATGTATGTCTTGTCTGCTAGCAAATGCATGCAAATATCTAAGCTTAGTCTAGTTAATAACTGTGCTACTATACAGTAGTGGTTCTTTACCTATTTTAGTTAGGGAATTTGATAAAAGCTCTACACACATACACACTTCTGCACAAAATAATTTCAAGTTGTATGCTATTTTGCACCTTATTTTTTTAATAACCTAACTAAAAAAAAAGTCAGGCCATTAACAAATTTAGCAAGTTTGAAGTTTTTATTTGATAACATTATTATTTTGATATTCACAATCTCAAAGCAAAACACCCTCATGTTGATTATGCTTTCATAAAGGAAAAATATATACTGTAGTTTAAAAAATGGATGATTAACCCTTAATTGTTGGCTATTGTCATGTGTTACTCCTTGGGGCAATGCAGTTATCATTTTCTTTTAATTAACACCCAGTTTTTGTACAAATAATGTAAATATGATTGTACTCACCTAGTTGTGCTTGCTGGGGTTGAGCTCTGGCTCTTTAGTCCCGCCTCTCGACTGTCAATCAACTGGTGTACAGATTCCTTAGCCTATTGGGCTCTATCAAATCTACATTTGAAACTGTGTACGAGTCAGTCTCCACCACATCACTACTTAATGCATTCCATTTGTTAGCTACTCTGACACTGAAAAAATTCTTTTTAATGTCTCTGTGGCTCATCTGGGTACTAAGTTTCCACCTGTCCTCTTGTTCGTGTTCCACCCGTGCTAAAGAGTTTGTCTTTGTCCACCCTGTATTCTCCTGAGAATTTTGTAGGTGGTTATCATATCTCCCCTAACTCTTCTGTTTTCCAGGGATGTGAGGTTCAACTCCCTTGGCCTTTCCTCGTAGCTCATACCTCTCAGTTCTGGGACTAGTCTGGTGGCATACCTCCGAATCTTCTCCAACTTTGTCTTGTGTTTAACTAGGTATGGATTCCAGGCTGGAGCTGCATACCCCAGGATTGGTCTTACATAAGTGGTATACAAGGTCCTGATGATTCCTTACACAAGTTTCTAAAGGCAGTTCTTATGTTGGCCACTCCAGCATATGCTGCTGATGATATCCTTTCGATGTGGGCCTCTGGGAACAGGTTTGATGTGATATCAACCCCAAATCTTTCTCTCTATTTGTCTCTTGCAGGATATCACCTCCCAGATGGTACATTATATTCAGCCTTCTGTTCCCTTTGCCTAATTTCATTACTTTACACTTTCCTAAGTTTAACTTTAGTAGCCATTTTCTAGACCATTCTACCAGTTTAAGATGGATGTAATGAAATTAACCAAGATTCATGCTATTTTATTTTTCAATTTCTAACTAATATGCAATGAGATTGTGTACTAGTGACCTATGATTATCATCAGATCAAATTTTGGTGTTTTCTACCAGTGTTTAAATGTATTACCAGACAGAATAGCAGAAATATATAGTGGGTTGCAAGACACTACCTTTGAGATGTGCCAGGAACAGGTTTATGTGCCATGTAGGTGTACATACTGTATTTCATTGTAGGCATATGTACAGTACTCAAGTTACAGTTCTTCATCAATTATATGTACATAAATAATTATTTAACTCAATGTGCAAACTGAAGTGATGAACACAAAAGCATCCAACTTAAACCTAAGTGTCGTCACCCCTGCACCATGAGTCTGCACATTGTGTATCTTGTGTTGATGTACCCAATGACTCCCTCGCCCAGCTTCTCCCTCTGGTGCACCTTAGTCACAAAAGACTTTCATATATATTTTGTCTTGCCAAATGTATCATTCTTGCCGTAACTTTTTGTGCACAGGCGAGGTGTAAAATTTTTATGATGGTTGCTCTTTGAGGGTTAAATTAGTACAGTAAATATTAAAGCATATAAAATGATTCTATCATTGAAATAAATCCTTGGCATACGCTGACTTACGTGAATGTCATTAATTATTGGAGGGAATCATTTAATTATTATTGTGCGTGTTGTTAGAAATTGCTTCCTCTTTTTAGCAGCCCATTCTCCTGCTTTGGTAGTACTTACAGTAACGATGAGGACCATAGTGTATACTGTATACCAACGTACAGCACAATTAGACAGTAGAGATCTGTACTGTTGAATTTGGATAAACTGGAGACAGTAGAAATCTGTACTTTTGAATTTGGACAAACCGGAAAAGGTTTTGTATTTAAGGTGCAAAGACAACCTAAACTAACCTAACATAACCTAACCTTCCTGGGCCTAATACACACTATCTGAGGCCTAATATAGTACATATGTGTGCTATACTAGGCCTAGGAATATTTAAGTTTGTTTTTTAGCTTCATTTTTTTGGACTCTTATAAAGTGAATAGTACCAAATTTTACTATCTAATTGTTCAGTACATCAATGTTTGTACTATGGTGCACATA